AGGGTGGGTTGGGTTTTTGCATTTGTTTTCGGGTGTTGTTAGTTCTACGGTTTGATTCATGTGGCGGCTGTTGGGTATATGGGTTGTCAGTTCAAATAAGACTCCTCAAAGTGGAACATAATGAGCTTCCGAGGTCCCAACACTTCAAGCACAAAAACGCAATTAAACTTGGGCAACCGCTGCCCACCCAATGGGGGGAAACTTTTCAGCAAATTGACAGCTAATTAATTTGCCAATGAGCTAAGAAAATTCGTGAGAGGCTACGACGGGGGCTGGAGTTGGTGGAGCGGCGAACACCTGCCAAGCTGACTGACTTATTTGCAAATTGGGCGCTTAAGTGTCTCGGGAGGATGCGCTTTATGACAGTGACAATTGGAGCTAATTAAGCGAGATTATGCAGAAAGCTTCAAGTTGAAATCTCTCTGGGCAGCGCTCTTGAGTGTGAAAAATAAATGAAATTCGTGAGTTGTTTGCAGAGCATAAATTTCAGCATTAACATGCTCATTGCTCGGCGGACAGCAGCCGGACAAGGACATGGACTGAGTGGAGGCAAGGGCACGGAGACGAGTAGGAATGAGGAAGCGACTCGTTTTCGCAATTTACGACGAGTCGATTGTAATAAATTAGCCAAAACTTGTTACGCAAACGGAAAATGCCAATAAAAATGTGTTGGAAAACGGAGGCTAATAAATTCTAGTCCTCCCACATCTGGCTAGTCTCAACTTTGCGAGTTTAAAGCTTAGCAAGGAGAATAATCCAGTAACCAGAAACCAAACATCCAACTGGTTAGCCAGAAACCGAAATACCAATCAGTTTAATTAAAGAAAAAATATCCATTGAATTTGATTAGCAGCATAGGGAGAGAGTAGGAGAAAGATAGAGTGAGAGGGATGCAATCACTTAACCAAGTTCTCGGGGCACACATTGCATTAGTTTTATTTGCACAGCGCTCAAAAACGCATTGCACTTCGGAGGCAAATCAATTGAATTGGCGCAATGTTGCCAGCCAACTTTGACTGCAGCAGCAGGAGCAGGAGCAGGAGCAGGATGAAAGGTGCAGAAGGAGCCGAATAAGGATCTCATTGTTGCACAAAACTTTAAAAAACTTTCGAGTGCCCATCCAACTTTACTCCTTCTCTCTCTCCCCCTCTCTCTCTGCCAACCCATTCAGTTGACTTTGAGTGGCTTTTGGTGTCTTTAATCTACATCCGCCAGTCAGTCTGTGAGTCGCCCGCCGCTGGCGTAGACATAATCATTTTACATATTCAACTTCTGGCTCAGTTAATAGAGAGCAACTTACGAGGAAGACTACGATTATGAGCCACAGTTTACTTTGCCATCAGTTTTACATTGCAGCCAAGCCTGAAATCAGAGTTACTCGTTGCGTTATTTGTATTTGAAATGCAATTCTGACAGCTCTCGCTCTCAATTTATTTAATGATATTTCTGTTGGCCAGCACTCAACTTTTGATAAGCCATAAAAGTTCCCCTTTTCGTAATCTGTTTGACTCCCGAAAGGTTTTCCAAAATGCATTGATTTTATATTTTATAATTTTATGATGGCTTTCGATACTTATCTAATGGCCTTCTATGGGTTCCAGTGCAGAATTTTAAATATGGCTTTTAGCATTTTGGAAAATGTTCGGCTAAGTTGTAGTCTGTAAATCCGTATCGATCCAACTAAGTACATGCTCGTGTATTAAAAGCCTCACTTCAAGGTTTATAATACATTGCAGTTCTGTCAATTCGGTGCGACTTAAGTCTCAACTCAAGAAACTAAATCAATCGTAAAATATTAACGTAATTGAATTTCAAGCAGAGGATTATAAAGCCTCGAAGCAGCTTTGGCTGCAATGCATTCAAGCGGGAGTCTAGTTTGACCCAATGGGGAAAGCTGGCATGAAATATTTATTCATTTCTGCTCTTCGCATGCAGCAAATCGCTCGTGAAAGGCTGATATAAATCTCACATACGCAACGATGGTCATCAGCCTGTTGTGGGGGGATGATTCGTAATTAAATGTCGTAACGCACAACAAAATCAGCTTTCTATTCACTACGTCGCATACGTGTCGTGCACACGGACAAATTGGGACTTTATTCGGTTCAGGTGCCAAGAGCACTGCAACTTCTGCACGTAAGGGAACAATAGCTGTAACTGCAGCTGGCAGCTAGTAAATATTTATGAAATTTTTCCAACAAACAAAATCTAACTAAGGCAAATAAATGCCTGGAGGCATAACCGTATTATAAAGTGCAATCGGAGCCTTTACGCACACACACACACACAATGAACAGAACGGGAGGGAGGTGGGTTGAACACGGAGAAAGATACGGAAGAAGTAGGTAGACACGTGCTGCCCCAGAGGACAATGTGACCGACCGATATGCAAAAGTTCCGACCACAGCAACGACAAAGTTGAACCGAAGGATGTGATGACATTGTCCTTAGACAGTTACCTGTGATATTTTGTGAAATGCCCAAGGAAAACACAGACCTGAGACCTGAGACCCGGCCCGAGACAGCTCCAATATGCAGTGGCGATTGGGTTGGAAAAGGGGCCGATGCTGGGCTAGAGGGTCCGCTTCGAATCATCTGCACATACTCGTATAAACAGGATTATGTGTCTCGGGGGGGTTATGTAAGTAAGCTTCCGTTGTAAATTGATTTTGTAGCAAGCCGGACACACTGGGGTAAAATGAAAAGGATTTTATCCACTTATTGTTGCATGTCGGGTGGGTCCGGCGTCCACCTGAAACTGAAACTACAAGTCCCCAACCGGACCGTTTCGTTTGCGCAAAAGCTGAATATCATACGAGTGAGAGAACGAGTAGATGATGCTCTCCCGTTTGAGTGAATGTATGTGACATGCTCAGAGGTCATAGTTGACTCGAAGGGCAGCTGAAAATGGAAACTGCTGCGGAAAAGTGCCTCCATTGAGGGATATATTTATTTGGGAGAATGCGAAAATATTTTTAATTTTGGCATAGCTCTGATTTGATTGTGTCTGAGTCTGGGAGGCCAACCGAGGGCGAATGTTTGAGCAATTCATTCCCGTTCCCTGTACATTTTCCCTTTTCTTTTTGTGTTGTACATTCTGCGGACCTTGGACAATTTTTCGATTTGTTCGTTTGACATCTGCTAGATGCTGGATGCTGGATGGCTGAAAGACGGGTTGTCTCCATTTCTTGGTGTCTCTCGCTCTTCCTCTATCTGTATCCTTCGGTCTCGCTGTCTATGCTTTTGATATTGATGTCCTTTGAAGTGTTTTCAATTAGTTTGCATTTCGCTTGTCGCTGTGCCTTCCCTGCCCATCCCTGTCCGTTTTATTTCTGTGTCTAGTCTCAGACAGCAGGCTGGGGACATATTAATAAAAGAAGGAATACCCAAGGAATGCTCTGCTGGCATGCCCTGTGACCAGATGACCGTCTGTTCAATTAGCAGTCGACTCTGGCTAAGTCGTGTCCGCCTCGGACTTGTCAGCTTTTGCCCCAAATGAGTTTCAAAGGTGATGAGGGAGCAGGAGCTAGGGAGCAACGACAGCACCTGTCTACATGTGTCCCCAATTGCCGCTCAGTCGGATTAGCTGCTTTCTGCCATCTCGATCCCCCGTTTGCACCTTCCGGCATTCCTGCTCTCCCGTTCCCTCTTTTTCGCATACGAAAACTGTGAACAGGTGGCAGGTGGCAAACATTTACGTAAACTGCTCTTCTTTTCGCCTTTCAGAGGGCCATAAATATTTGCGAAAGCTAATTCAGTGAGCATCTGTGTCGGGCTATGATCTTTGCCATTGTTGCTGCATAAATTTAGTCAGCTCTGAATGGGCTCTGACCTCTCTCTCGAGGCCCACTCTCCTCCCGGCCATCAGCATAATTTACTTGGACTTCCGCTTAGGCTCACTCTCTCCCACACTGTACATATTTTATGCCTTTTATCATAATTTATGCGTTGATACTGCAAATGCATAAAATTAAATTCAATTCGCACACACACATGCCCTCATTCCCATTCCCTTTCCCCGTCCCGTCTCGATTCTATGGCATCCATTGTGTTTGCGGACACATAACCCTGCTCAATGCATTCAAATTTGATTTAATGTAATGCCCACTCCGGTTACGCCCCTCTATTACCGTCTCTGACCCGGGTGTCGGCCCGGCCGGCACTGTACCATTTTTAGCTTAGTGCAAATGACGGCACACAATTTACATAAATTGCGTTTAATGTATGTATGCTGGAGTTGCTGGATATGAATATTCCGGTCAGAACCGGCAATGCAAAATGAGCTCGTACGTGGCTGATTGGATAATTGCCGGTAATCAGCAGCAAATGCTTTTCTAACCGTTGCGATATTCCAACTGGCACACGATGCAATGAATAAAAAATAGTAAATGATATTTTTCATAAAGAAATACATTAAATTTATGTGGTATTTGCATAAATGATTTACCAAATTGTATAATAAACTATTACAAAAATGGACTCTGAAACATTAAACTTGACTTTGAGTACTTCCCTTGAATAACATTCACTTGAAGAAAAAATACGCAGATGTCCATTGCTTACTCCCTTGCATCCCTTTTGTTTCTTAAGCTAAGGACAGCTGATAAAAATTAAAACTTACGAATGTCATATGGTTAAAAAAAAGATCAAAAGAATATCCATTAAAAAATCGGCGAAATAAAAACCATTCTAGGACAGAATTTATTTGCTGAAATGATTAATGATCTCGTTCTGATTGGATTTGATTTCGAAGGGTAGGTAAGGAAGAGTTTAGTGATGATTTATAGAGACATAGAGATGTCTACTGGTTCTTGGGCGATGACACTGTTTTATTTCTGCATTATGTTTAAACTAATTTCATAAATTATGCTAGGATGGCGCGTGATTGTTAAAAAAGACGACTACATAAATTAATTGGGACGCTTTCGTCTCGGTTTCTCTTGGTGTTTCCCCCGAAGCCGAAGCCGTATCCGTGTTCCTGCAACTGTTCCTCCTGCGCCTGAAGTAAGTAGATGCTTTAACTCCACTTATGCCTCTCATAACCTCTTCAACATACGCTTCTTCTCCTTGAGCAACTTCTCCTTTTTCTTGTCCTGCAGCTTCTTGTCCAGGTCCGCATGCTTCTTAGTTGAGGGTCCATCATCATCTTTGGCATCGCTCGCAGCGCTAACACCGCACTTGGCGGGCTGGGCATGGATCTCCGTCATCATGCGCGCTCTCTGCGAGTAGTCATCGTATCGTTCGAGCAGCATCTTGCCAGCCTCCTCGTTGAGTGCAGACTCCGGATTGGGCACAATCAGCAGGCATTTAATGGTAAGCAGTATGTGTTTGATACCCAGATCCGGCTTCCAGTCCTTCTTCAGTGTGTTGACGCAAATCTCGCCGTTGCTCGCCACATTTGGGTGAAAGATTTTGGTTAAGAAATATGCCTTTGGCGGCGTTTGTGGGAAATCTTTGCTGAGTGTCAGCTTGACGCGGAAGATGCCAACGGCGTACGGTGTGCCCGCTGGTCCGTCGATCAAGGCCTGTATATCGGTGACATCGCTCTCGTTTATTAGCACTTTAATGCCCTCCGGCGGAGTGGTTTCCATCTCTTGCAGCTCCCTCATCACCTGCCGTATCTTTTGCGGCGACAGGTTCTCCACATTGGAATACTGCGAACTCATGGCTTTTAATGTGCCCAACGGATGCTGTGTAACAGTTCGTGTGTGGAGGGTGGAAAACTACTCTTGTTCCACTGTCTTTTGCAGTTTTTGCTTGCTCCTGCTTGGTTTGGTTTGGGTTTCTTCTTCTGTTTTTACACGCTTTTCACTTTTAGGCCTAATAAATATTTGAAGACCTTTAAATTTTGCTTTGCGATGGATTTAAAATCGGTTTGATCGCCTGCTTTGTTGCTGTTGTTGTTTTCCTTCTTTTTTCGTCACATTTAAACAAATTCTGTCAAATTGCACACTTCACGCTCAACAACAACACGAAAACAAAAATCCTTTACAACCATCTTTGTTCCGCAACAAAAACCAAATTATTTAATTAAGGAGCGAACAATCTCAATCCCGGTTTGCCTCTAGTTCTATTATTCCCCGTCTCTTTGGCCATCATTCCTCTTCTCCGCATTTTATTGAATTCGTTCGTGCAATAAAAATTTATTTGCAGCTTCCCTTCCGCCTCGCCTAGCTGGCCTCCACTTACCAATCCAATCCGGCTCGCTCCACGTAGAATGGACGGACTATAAAAAACTTGCAGAATGAGAAAAGGGAAACCATGGAATGAGCATGGATGAAAGCTGATGATTTTATCACAGCCAGCAGTTTTTCAGCTTGATCTGTGGCAATGGTCTTTTATTCAATTTGCGCGCCTCATTCAAATTGTCCGCACTGGGACGAACGAATGAATGAAGGAAAATGGAAAAGTTTTGACCGCCTTTTGATCTTCTTGGCCTGGCAGCCAATGTGTTATTGAGACGGTAAATCGCCAGGCCAGACAGTAGCCAGTTAAGCCGCTACTGGCAGCTGCTGCTTTAATTTTAATTTAGTCAGAGTCAAAAAATGTGGACCCAAAAAAGCGGAGCAAGGCACACAACGAGGCGCCACGGGGCGCATAAAGCGCCGCATTAATTTGACAGCCAACGTCTGGGTGCAGGCATGTGTGTGCGAGGGCGAAAGGGGTGAAAAACTGTCGCTCTGGGGCACAAAAAAAATAAACTCATGAGAAACTTAATGCATCGTGTGGCATGTGGGGAAGCATGTGATTTCCAATTCCCAAAAGATGGCCACAGGCAAGCCAAGCAGTTGGCTTTGCGGCTTCCAGGAAGCAAGCGAAATTTGATATCGAAAAGTGTTTATGGATTTTCCTTTCACTTGATAGCACAAAATTAATTTTTTAAAATCACAATGGCTCTCATCTACTACGATCGCACCATCAACAATCCCCTCGAACTCATTCTGGCTGGCCTGCGCGAGAATTCTCAGCCCACCTCTTTGGAGACGCTGAGTGTCTTTGTGGCCACCAAGACCGGCTTCCCTGCCGAAGTCTGCCACAAGATCATCCGAGAGGCACTCGAGGAGGGCATGGCAAGCAAGACCATAAGACAAGTGGACGAGCTCTACTACGCCGTGCCACCGAAGCCTCGCCGGCTGCCAAAACGGAACAAGCCGAAAGACAGCGGCGGACTGCGATAATTAATTCATAATGCGGAGAGTATCCGCTCAAGTGGGCCAGAAGTGCAGAGCAAACACTTTATTAAAATTAAAATTTATCTAAATTGCGACAGCCAGCTATTCTCTCTCCGCAAAGTACTTAAACAACTTCGTCGGGCTGTCTGACAATGACGAAAGGGTGGCTGCCACAAAGCTTCCCCCTGTTGCACTGCACTCCGCACTCCTTGATACTGCACTCCAGTCAACGTCTTGTGTCTTTCAAACGTCTGTCCTGCCGTGGCGAAGGGTGGAAATTGAAAGCTCCACTTTCTTTGTCTCAGCCAGGTGCAATACTCCCAGAGATGCACCCATGGGGCAGGCAGGCAGGGAAGCGGGATCCGTGCATTTTCAATGTGTCACTTTGATTTATTATTTTCGACAGTCCTCCCCACAAACACCCACTTGCCGTGCGCTTAGGGAGCCCAGCACACTCTGTCCCAGTGGGAGTCACGGGAGCATAAGCAACCGCCGCTCCAGCCACATCCGTGTGTAAGTGTGTTGGTGTGTGGTTGGCCAGAGAGGACTCAACTCGTGCACAATTTTTCATTTCCTTTGCATTTTTTACACGCCCCTGCTACTTTGCGTTCTTATCTCATTTATTTATTTTACAATTAGACAAAGTGAAGTGCACTTCCAGAGAGCCACAGAGAACAGCTGCAGTTGCCCCGTCCGGGGTTGCAATTTCATGCCACTGCCATGTGTACAATCCTTCGATGGCAGCACGCCAACACTGGTCTGGCCTGGCCTGGCCTTGTGGCTGCTTTAAATCAAAAGCTTATGGCTGAAAATGCTTAAAATTAACATTAAGGCCTAAGTATGCCATTGGCATAGACATAGGCTCAGGCGCACAGATACGAGAGATACTCTCGTGGCAAGGCTGAGCAGGCAGGAAAGCAATAATCATAAAAGTAGCCCGCATACTCGCTCGCCTCAGCCTCTCCGTCTCTCACCTTAGGCTCAAAGTTTTCACATGGACAGAGAATGTTGCGCCGAAACAAATGGCAAATGGCCTGGTAGAAGAAACACTTAAGCACAAGGTAAGTGAAAACTCAAATAAAAAAGGAAAGAAAAGACCAAAAAGAAAGCAAGACGGAATACGAAAGTCAATATTTCGACAATGAGATACCCTGATCTGATTTGTTATTCTATCCCTGGAAGTTGTATCAACCTTCTCCGACAGGTCGGAGAGTGTAAACACATGGTAATCAGAAGATTATTCAGCTGAGAAAACTTTGCAAATGTTGCTTATCGATTTGTTTATTTTCAACTTGTCCTTGGTGCTGCTTTCCAAACACACACTCTACTCAAACAATATACCCTTCTGCTCCGCGTGCACGGAGTATAAAAAGAGGAAAACTTTTACAATGCGCAAGCGGAGTAAGACGCTACTCAATGCTGTCGTGGCTGCCCCAAACTCACTTGAAGGCTAGCGCTATTTTTGGCCAGCTGACAGTAGCGAAAACTTCAGGCTCACCGGATTCAATTTCCCACCAGTCGGGGATTCCTTTAAAGCAACTTTACCGTGCCGCACTGGGCTGCTGCCGCTTTAATTCCGATTTGTCTGGTTGTTGTCTTTGACGCTCCACTTGCTGCGCCTCGGGGCTGTGCAATGGTTTATTATTGTGGCGTCAGCTCTTTGAAGTGCTTTGGCCAGCATAAATTTTGATTGCAAAGGGCCGTCGGCCAACGGCCTGACATTTATTACTGCCTGGCTGGGGCACGACTGGAAACTGTTGCAACAGAGTGCGGGCGGTGCGTTCTGGGGGGTGCTGCTTGGTTCATTACCACCCAGGATCAGCCGTTTGCCAGTTCGATTATAACTGTGTACGTCTAATTGCGATGTTCCGATGCAGTCAGAGCAGCTCGACTTTAAGTCTCCAGACATGACCCAAAAGCAGCAACAAAAAAAAAAAGAGAGCCAAGTTCTACGCCAAACTGCAAGTTTTCATTGCATTAGCCTGTTCGGGCAAAGTTGAAATGTCAACGCAAAGTCACACAGATACACACACACACACATACACACAAACAGCAAGGCAGAGATTCAACGAGAAATATGCTAGCTTAGCACTCTTCCCAGAGTACCCTGGCCCCTTCCCCACACCCATCTGACCATCCAGAGTCGAAAAATTTTTGAAATGCGACCCAATTTTGTCGTATCGCAACATGGCAGAGTTCGACACATTTTCGCACATAGACAAAGACGAAGGTTGGTCCAGGCGGGGCGGGGCGGGGCGGTGAGCTTTCTGACATTTTGTCGAGCTATGCATTTCGGACATGTGCATGTCAGTTCCCCCCTTCTGTTGGCCCAGTTAAGCCATCCATCCAGTCATCCAGCCATACAGACATCCAGACACCCCGCGCTCACCGTCAGTTCAATTTATGTCACACGGGGTGAACACCCACACTCACACACACACACATACACCTACACCTACACACCCACACTCATGTTTACACTTGCTAATTAACAAACGTTTGGTCTAATTCCGAGTCTTGTCCATTTTTCGGTGGTCAGGCGACTAATTATGCTGCGACTAACATAATCAAGTGACATGACAGGTCAGTTCATCAGCGGGTGAGGTAAATCGTTTTATTTAATTTCCAACTCAATATGTAAATAGTAAGTACTTAACAATTGAACAAGTTAACGTGTGTTTAAACAACAATAAAATAACCCACTTAAATGATTTTATTTAATTGCAATGCCACAATTCGTTGATTTTATGGCTGTTTAAAAGTTTTTTCCATCGTTCCCGCTGGCTATGTGAGTCGAAATGATTTACATTTGAAAATATACATACTAACAAGCTTTCCAACAAAGAGTTTTCCGCATTACAATGAATGGAGTAAATATAATTTTGAATTATTTCAATGGCCAATAGGAAACTGTGCGGTCGGGCCAATGGATTTGCATGCCGAAAAAATCGGGGAAAAAAAAACAAATAATTGAAGCGTTTAAACGCACATCAGTATAAATTATGCACATTGAGTGTAATGAATATTTTGCAGTCAAAAACCTGAATGTCTACTGCCCATATTGAGACTGGTCGTAATGTACGTGGGCCACAAAAATATTAAATTAAAGCATTCACTAATGAGTGCAACAAAAAAATATTAATTTGTGGGCGAGAGAGAGAGACATTGACCTCTGCCATAGTCCGTGTTTCCCCTTCGCTTTTTGTATTCAGTCGATTTGGAGGGGTTAGGAAGATGTGTAGCTCTTCACAAGCGCTAATTTCTGTAATTAATGTGTATTGGCAATAATTAATCAGCTCCTTGAATAGGTAATTAGCAAAGTGTGTACTAAGTCGCCGTTTGTCCTGCCTGGCACACAGTCGCGTCTAGCAATATATCAATGCGGATTATGCTGCTCGGGATAGTTCCAATAGCAATTCGAAAATATAGGAGTCTTTTCGCTTCGAAAAATAGTTCTACGAGCATCGGCAGAGGAAAACCTGAAAATGTGTTTGTGCTAGAACCATGGCCAAAAAACCTCAAAAAGCAATTAGCAAATAAAGCAGAGCCAGGCCTCCTCTTCGGCACAGCGTGAGTCGAAAGCAAATAAGCAACGAAAGCCAAAACAAAACAAAGCAAAATAAAACCAAAAAACGTACGAAAAATCCAAACAACAGAGGCAACTTGGAGTCAAATACAAAATGAAAGGACATTAAACACGAGCGAGAATTGGTGAGACAAAGTAAACGGCAGGATTAAAACGGCTCTTTCATTCTCTCACATTTCCATGACCACACACACAGATACAGATACAGAAACACGCAGAGAAACACAGACAAACAGACAGACAGACAGAGAGAGAGAAAGGACATGCCACCGAACGCCACACCAATCGGATTCAGCCTCAATGCCGCCACTTAAGCAGCGCTACGTGAGCAAGGAGACACACACGCAAATAACTGCGGGGGCAGCTTTTAATTATCTCGTTATTTTTTAATTTCCAGCATTTCACTGATTTCTTTTCGAGCACATTGAGCGCTGCGCGCCAGGCGGTCGGCCCCGAGCTGAGCCCAGTCCCATCGCATCACACAAACCCGCTCCGCTGAGTAAGCATAAGCAAAGGAGGAGCAGGAGCAGGACTATCTTGAGATGCAACTAATTCGCAGGTCGCTTAATTCTGCTCCGGCTGTTGTCTTTGGCCAGGGGACAGGTATAATTTGTTAACGCTCTAATGGCCCGGCCACTTTGAATGGCTTTTAAAGCCCCACAAAGACGAGGCACACTGTAAAGTGAGCTGAAAAACAATTAAGGCAGCCAGCGCCGGCTGCCCGCTGCCACGCTGCCCCGCCGACCTGTCGACCCATCAACCCTCCACATTAACATCAAATTAGTTTGTGGATTAACACGTTTTTCACATGCCGTTGGCCGAAGAAGGAATCGGTGAGTGTGTGAGTGTGTCCCAAGCAAGTCAGGGGCCCAAGCTTCATTACGCATACGAGACGATGGCTGGTGCGGCGGGGCATGGCATGGGAACTTAGCTCTTTAGTTTGGCCCCCACACCAACCCGTGTGCAGTGAGGCATGTGAAAGGCTTACATACACTAATTATACACCTGACATGCTCTTCATTTCTTGGGCATAGTTAAAAATACTTTAAGGTTTATTATTAACAAGTGCAACTACTATATTAAGAGTTTGTCCTTTCCAGCGCACACTTCTCATTGTGGATTGAACAGTGGAGCAGCTCAGCGTAGAGCACAGCTGAACGGGATGGAGTTGAGCTGCCAACGTGTATAACGAGGATATTTAAATAAAGTTTTTTGTTCGACCTGACAAAGTTTGCAGCTACAAAATAGGCTTCATTGCTCTTTTGTCATGCCCGGCTAGCTGGCAGCATATATCTTGGAGCTAAAATCAGTGCCACAATGAGCATATTGTAAGGCTAAAAAAATTTAATGCTTACGTGCCTGAAATATCCATCGAGGCACAAAGGAAGCGATTGCAATATATGGATGGGCTGGTGCATGTGAGGCGCATCGCCTCGCATCGACGACTATGCCGGCAAAGTTCATATATAAAGCGTCCGAAAACCTCGGCTTGGCTTGGCTTAAAATA